GAAACTAAACCCCTATCTCTCACCATGCACAAAACTCAAAGTGATCAAGGACCTAGGAGTTAAACCAGAGACCCTGCACCTAATAGAAGAAAAAGTAGGCCCAAATCTCCATCAACAAATGGGATGGGTTCAAACTAAAAAGCTTCTTCTCAGCAAAAGAAACAGTCAGCGAGGTGAACAGAGAACCTACAGAATGGGAGCAAATTTTTACCACACACACATCAGATAGAGCATTAATCTCTAGGTTATATAAAGAACTCAAAAATCTTAACACCAAGAAGAACCCAAGTAACCCAATCTATAAATGGACAAGGAAATGAACAGACATATCTCAGAAGATGATATACAATCAATCAACAAATATATGAAAAAAATGCTCAACATATCTAACAATTAGAGAAATGCAAATCAAAAACTAAGATTTTATTTCAAGCCAGTCAGAATGGCAGCTGGTAAGAATACAAACAACAATAAGTGTTGGTGAGGATGTGGGGGAAACGGCACACTCATACATTGCTGGTGGGACTGCATATTGGTGTACCCAATATGGAAAGCAGTATGGAAAATTCTTGGAAAACTGGGCATGGAACCACCATTTGACCCAGCTATCCCACTCCTTGGTTTATACCCAAAGGACTTAAAAACAGCATACTACAGGGACGCAGCCACATCAATGTTTATAGCAGCACAATTCACAATAGCTAAATTGTGAAACCAACTTAGATATCCTTCAGTAGATGAATGAATAAACAAACTGTGGTATATATACACAATGGACTATTACTCAGCATTAAGAGAATAAAATCAGGGCATCTGCAGGTAAATGGATGGAGTTGGAGAATATTATGCTAAGTGAAGTAAGCCAATCCCCAAAAACCAAATGCCGAATGTTTTCTCTGATATAAGGATGCTGATCTATAATGGGAATGGTGGGGAAGCATGGAAGGAATAGACAAACTTTAGATAGGGCAAAGGGGAGGGAGAAGGGGTACGCATAGGGGTAGGAAAGTCGGTGGAATGAGATGGACATCATTGCTCTAGGTACGTATGAAGATACAAATGGTGTGACTCTACTTTGTGTACAACCAGAGACACAAAAAATTGTGCTCTATATGTGTAATAGAATTGAATTGCATTTTGCTGTCATATATAACAAATTAGAATAAATAAAATTTAAAAAATCTGTTGTCATGTGGATTATATGTATTGGTATTTATCATAGTAGAAACTGAAAATAAAAAAAATTGAAAGCACAAGAATATACAAACACATTGTTACCTGTCAGAACAATGACTATCACATGTCATGTAGCCTCTGGACAAATCCAACATGAAACTTGGAGAACCACTGGAATGGGTCTGCATATGTTGGCAACATTACTTTTACTTAGCAAGTGAAGGATAGACCCTCAGCTACTGTTTATACTTCTGTTGATTTTTCCAATTCTGGTTCCTGTCTTATCTTGGTGAGGGCCTTTTTTTGCCTTGTGCCTTTGAATTACTTTTTTTTTTAAGTTTATTTTTTTAGTTGTAAATGGACACAATATCTTTTTTATGTATTTATTTTTATGTGGTGCTGAGGATTGAACCCAGTACCGCACACATGCAAGGCAAGCACTTAACCACTGCATTACACTTTGAAATTACATGATAGGTCAGTTCTACAGAAAGACTCCAAAGCTCTCCAGTGAGCAAAAGGGAAACATAATTTCATTTCTGTGACTCTTCCTAGAACAAAAATTAGATTCTTCTCTTCCCAAATAGTTGTTAAGCAATTGTTAGACACTAGGGAAACAAAGCCTATATGACACTGTGACAGTATTAACAATTTAAAAGCCACAGTTATAGTTTAAAAAGTCATTTGTCATATCTTTGTTTCATTTTCTATATTCAGGTTCTGTTATAAGGGACCAAAGTTGTCTGAAAGGGACATTCTGATTTTAAGAAACTATCAAAAGAGTTTCCTGCAACAATTCTGTTCTTTTGGTCACTAAATTTGAGACAGCAAAGCACAGCCAAACTGTCACTTTGTCTGCCCATGTAGAGGCACTATCTGCAGTGGGTCTTCTTGCTCCCTGTAGAGGACTGGTATGGGATTTCCTGACCCCGCCTCCATTCCCAAAGCAGCCAGGACAGCTTCCTCATTATCTAATATTTAGATGAGAGATGCTCAGAAAAACATGGCTGTACTAAACTACTAATACTAATGTTTTGGTAACTTGTAATTTGCTTTCTATGTTTTACTCAATTGACTTGTGAATTATACAGTATAGTGAGCATAAACATTTTCTTAATAAACTCAGAAACCTCTAGGTAGACTGAAAGTACTCTATGTACTACAGTAAGAAGAAAAACATATCCTTATTTTTAAGCACTTATTCAAACTCTTTGCTAATATATTTATTCAATCTTGGTACAGTGAGCATACATCTGGGAATCCACTGCTGCATTAAGACTGTTTCATTTTCTTTTTCCATCTTTTATAAACAAGTAGTCTAAAGCAGTAGTCCATGACACAGAATTTTATGTGGCTGTTGGTAAAGATACTTACCAAGTAAAAATTCTGGGGAATAATAAAAAGAGGAACAGGGGCTGTGGCTGTGGCTAAGTGATAGAGCACTTGCCTAGCATGCATGAAGCACTGGGTTTGATCCTCAGCACCACATGAAAATAAACAAATAAAATAAATAAAGACATTCTGTCCATCTACAATTACAATCAATCAATCAATCAAAGGAGGAACATATTCATTTTCCCAGTTAATGAATAATTTAAAAGAGAATGACTATGAGAATGATTTCAAATTTATAAATCACTTCATAAACAGTGTTTTGAGCAACAGAAATTACCAAAAAATATTGATTTATCATGAAAGAGTGATTTGGCAGTGCTCATTTTTTAAGGTTACTATTGTTTTCATTAATCAACTTTCAGATTGGTGGCAGAGGGAGTGACTGATTCACAGTTATAACTACCACTGAATTGCTGCTAACCATCCTCTTTAATTAAGGCATTAAAACTCAAGTTCATAAACCTATTTGGAAAATGTTGTGATTTGTGAAGTCTCATATATATGAATGTTAAAATAAGAACTGTTAGTGACAGATTCCAAACAAAACTTTCCCACTATTCCTAGGAAGCAGATGTGTTAAGAAATTCATTTTTACTTTGTGAAAATTTCATGAAAGAATAAACTGTGACTTAAAAACTGTAGAATTCAATAATAAAATTAAAATCTCTGGTTTCAAACTATCCTCTATCATTGCACATAAACTTCATAACCAGAAAATATCATTAAATATGACATATTTCCTTTAAAGAAATCAATTTGATGGATCTCTGATTAAGAACACTTCAGGACTATATAAATCCAATACATTTTGTGGGGAAAATGAAAAGGAATACTGGGTGAAGCAAATAATAATAGCATAAAAATAACAAAACATACGGATGAACCAAATTCAAGTTTTTAAATTTTTTTTCTTGTAGTTGTAGATGGACAGCATGCCTTTATTTTATTTGTTTATTTTTTATGTGGTTCTAAGGATTGAACCCAGTGATTCATACATGCTAGGCAAGTACTCTGCCACTGAGACAGCCCCAGCTCCCTCAAGTTCTTAATATAAACATAATTCCACAATGCCACCCTGTTCGCATCTGGGATTTCCAAGGAGCTATCAGAGGGAGATTTTTTTTTCTTATCACAAGTCAAGGTAAGTATAGAATTAAGTGAATTGTTAGGCTAATTTTTAAAAAACTTTTTGAAATTACAAACTTAATACTTAAATGGGATGACATCATATCATAATACAGTGTGTGCGTGTGTGTGTTTACACTTGCATGTGCGCGTACACACACACAAAGATGAAAAAGAGCGCCAGTCAGGTTGTGGCTACACATAGCTATGTATGTTTATCAACAACTGATATCCGGTCTGATTGCTGTTCCCACAGTCTCATATCAGCACAACTATTTAGAAATGAAACAAACCACAGGAAATAAGCAAAACCACTCTTCAGCTATCTGGTGGCACTGCCACTTTAAACACAAATGTTTAAAGTTTCCAATAAAGTTTCATGTATCAACCCACTAAGTTGTTGTCTGAGATTCAGGGATGTCTCTATTAGAATTTAATGAACTTCTGGCAAGATAATTTTTAGTGTCTTCATCTAAGCCATGTTTCCAGACCTGAGGAACATCACAGATAGATAGCAGCACTGCCCTAATGGGATTCAATGCAGCACTCTCCGTCCCATTATGGTACAAGGCTCACCCCAGGGCTGCTTTTGTTGTATTCCATCAGCATTCTTCAAGGTCAGGTGGTAATGAGTTCTTCATCTTTAAAGTGGATGGAACACACAACACGTTATTACTGTCACTTCTGACCATGACTGACATGTCAAATCCCACAGGCACTGAGAATTGGTGCTTCAAGACTCTGATCAGTTAGCTAAAGGCACTATACTCTCAAGGACATGTTTCGTGTTGGTGTGAAGAAGGAGGAAGGTTGGGCTTTGATCATATGTTCAAGTGAGCAAGCAGAGTAAACCAGCTGGTCACCAGAAGAACAAAGCAGAAGCAAAGCAGATCAGAGATCAGAAACTAAATGGCCCTCAGTAACAGGACATTCCTGAATCCATGGATTTTCAATTTTAGGTTCTAGTTCTTTGTGAAATCCAGGTGTATTTATGGCCCCAATACTCCCTGCCACCCAAGTTCAGAGAGAAACCTTTGTACTCTTCCTATAAAATACTTTCTTTTGTTTTTATGTAATTAGTTTGAGTACATTTCCTGACTCAGTTAGTAGGATTCCTAATAATTAACATTAATTATTAATTTAAAAATTTTATTAATTTAAAAATTTAAAAGTTTTCCATTGTTTTGAGACCTCATTTCTTTATTTGCATATTAGAGGTTTCTAAGAGCATGAGAGAGATATTGTTATTAATAAATTTAACAATAAGAGGAATATTTTATTGATGAAATAAGGCAACTACTTACATAATCTGGCAGAGGAACATCATCGGAACTCAGTGAACCTCTCAAGGACTGTGTGGCTTGTTCCAGAACTTTGTTATGTTTTTTAGACAGCAAAGAAAACAAACTGGAAAAAAAAATACATACACACACAAACACACAGAGGAAAACCCATTATATTAAGAGAACTAAATGTGACCTTTTTCAGGTCCAATATGGAGTTACATAGTTCTATAGCATATCAATTATTCTGAAAGCTGCTTGTAAATAACTTTTATCATGCCTATATTAGCAGGATTAATAATATTATTATATAACAAAATGGTGAAGAAGATGTTTAAATTATAAGAGTTCTGAAGAATAAAATAAGTTTGATAGTTTAAAATTATGTTTCAAAACTAGAAGAAATTTTTAAAAGATTACTATAGTGTGGAGTACAGTAGACAAAGATTGAGAAAACCTGGGAGATGGGCTAACTGTATGACTAATTCATATTGTAACCTACTATAGGTCACTTGAGCTTATGTATCTTAATTTTCTTATCTTACAAATGAGTGTTGTATTACAGTATTATTCTATGGTGTAATATAAAGTCAATGTTTCTGTATTTTAGTTTTAGGTTCTTCTTTCTCAAAAAGAATTATTTTAAATATATGCCTTATAAAAATTTACTTCTGGCTATAATGGATTAACTAGAGCTTGACTAACTCTCCTGCTGTAAACAACTAAAATCTAGAAAAAATTGCATGAAACAAGTGTTTTCAGATATTCTACTACATCTGAAATGCAGGATTATAATCCCTAAAAGAGAAATACACATGAACCCCATAATGGTGAGTTTCTACATATAGGAATATTCCAGACTATGGCCCAGAAAGGTGGGACCCAAACAGTACACAGCAGGACTGAGCTGAGAAGACTGAGATATGAATTTAGGGCTGCTGTGGCAGCTGGAATTTACAAGGCAGGATACTAGAGAAAAGAGAATTTCAAGAAAAGGGTTCCAGAAATCCAGATGTCTTCTTGAGGACCTGAGTAAGTACTAAGCTATACCTGAGCATAGCAAGATATTACAAGATGTGGTGATGAGCTACCCAGAAGCTGTATACTGAACATATATTTTGGAGGTCATAAAATACTGAAGGCTATTGTGTTCCAACCAGCCAGTGGATAAAACTCCTTGAACATGAACATTCAGTTGAATTTTTAGAAAGGCCATGCTTTAGGATCAGGACTATTGTACAGATTATTGTAGCCTAATAAAGCTAGTGAATAATCTTCAAAAAATAAAGTTGATTTATATTAAATGTAAATGAACTAAACACGGCAGTTCAATGCCAGAGATTTTCAGATTGGATAAAATTGCAAAACCCAACTACTTGCTGTTTAAAAGAAACATACTGTAAATTTAAAGACCCAGATAAGTTAACAGTTAAATGATATAAAAAATCATACAGCTGGGCACCATGGTACATGCTTGTAATCCCAGCAGCTTGTGAGGCTGAGACAGGAGAATCATGAGTTCCAAGCCAGACTCATCAATGGCGAGGAGCAACTCAATGAGATTCTATTTCTAAATAAAATAAAAATAGGGCTGGGGATGTGGCTCAGTGACCAAGTGCCCCTGAGTTGAATCTTCAGCACCCAAATAAATAAATAAATCATACAAACATTAATAAGAATATTAGAGTGGCCATATTGATTACAGACACATAGGATTAAAGACCATAATATTAATAGTAATGATAAAGAGGAAAATTTTATAATGATGAAAGCCAGTTCACCAAGAATACTTAATAATCCTAAATATTGGATCCTTAAATATACATTATAATTATATGATCCTAATATTCAATCTACTACATCTAGTAAAGCAAGAAATTCTCTTTAGGTTATATGGCAGCATAAAAATGGAGACAATCTTGACATCATGTACTTTCCACATAAATTTGAGATATGATTATATGTAGTATATATTTTTTTAAATGCCCAAAACACTACTCTAGTATTTCTTAGTGATGCTCTTTTAAAAAGACTATTGACTCAAATATGAATTTAAGAAAGTAAGCAATGATTTCAGATGATTTAAACAGGATATTCAATGAAGACAAGACCACTAAATATTAAGGTTTTTTTCAATTCAAAGTGGATCAAAGACTTTGGCACTAGAATAGAGACCCCTGAGCCTAACAGAAGGAAAAAGTAGGCCCAACTCTTCATCATGTCAGATTAGGATTTGACTTTCTTAATGAGACTATTAAAGGGCAAGAAGTAAAATCAAGAATCAATAAATGGGATGGATTCAAACTTTCCTCAGCAAAGGCAAAAATCAATAACATGAAGAGAAAGCCTACAGAATGGGAGAAAATCTTTCCCACATGTATCTCAGACCATTAATCTCCAGGATATATAAAGAATTCAAAAAACAACAAAAAACTACCACCACCACCACCACCACCACCACCAACAAAAAAACCCAAATAACCCAATCAATAAATGGGCTAAGGAACTGAACAGACACTTCACAGAAGAAATATAATCCATCAACATATATAAAAAAATGTTCAACATCTCTAGCAATTAGAGAAATGCAAATCAAAACTAAGATTACATCTCACTCCAGTGAGAATGGCAATTATTAAGCAAACAAGCAATAATAAGTATTGGTGAAGATGTGGGGGAAAAGGTACACTCATACATTGCTGATGGGACTGCAAATTGGTGCAGCCAATCTGGAAAGCAGTTTGGAGATTTCTTGGAAAACTAGGAATGGAACCACCACTTGACCCAGCTATCTCTCTCCTCGGTCTATACCCCAAATACTTAAAAACAGCATACTACAGTGATGCAGCCACATCAATATTTATTTACAGCAGCTCAACTCACAAGAGCTAAACTATGGGACAAACCTAGGTGTCCTTAAACAGATGAATGGACAAAGAATATATAGTACATATACACAATGAGATATTACTCAGCCTTAAAGAAGAATGAAATTATGGCATTTGACAGTAAGTGGATGGATGTCGTGAGCCATCCATGGGCTGTGTGTGTGTGAGATATGCACATCTGAGCATATGAGGGGACTGGTCTAGCGTTGCGCACTGAATGGGTTATGCAACTCAAGTGTGCCTTTCCTCTCACTCTGCCTGTGATCCCACACAGCACCTGAGAAGTGTGTGACTTGCCAAGATGTAATCAATCTGCTGACCACAAGACACCATCAAGCAAGACTCTACCCTTGGAAATCCTATCCCTTGACTTATTTGGGTGGAATCTTCTATCAAATGTCTTTTCCCCAATAAGTAGGAATGTGTGTGCTCTGGGTGTGATCTCTCTCTCTTGCTTTTTCCAGCACTCCCCAGCATGGAGCTGATCCTTGGGGTCACTGAGCAGGCCTTCCCTCAACCTTAGAAACTCATTTTCATGTGTTGCATGGTTTCTTTTCTGTTTTCTTAGTTATTGCTGCATCCGGCTCCTTTAAACCCAGCTCATCTTGTCAGCCCGGCCAGTTGACAGATGGAACTGGAGAATATCATGTTAAGCAAAATAAGCTAAACCCCCCAACCAAAGGCTGAATGTTTTCTCTGATATGTGGATACTAATTCTCAATAAGGTGGGGATGGGGGGCTAGGGAAGAATAGCATTACTTTGAATTAGGCGAAGGGAGTGAAGGGGTACGGGGTTAGGAAGGACAGTAGAAAGAGTCAGACATTATTACCCTATGTACGTAAATGACCACCTGACCAGTGTGATTCTATCATGTATGACCAGAAGAATGAGAAATTATACTCTATTTATGTATGATGTGTCAAGGTACATTTTACTGTCATGTATAACTAATTAGAACAAATTTTAAAAAATCCTTAAACATTCATTAGTTACGCTAGGTTAGCAAATATAACAGAGGGAATGGATATTCTCTAAGTTTCTATAGAAATATAGTGGGAAGAAAAAAATAATTATAGGAGATTAATTAATAGTTATGAAATGATACTAAGCGCATGCCAAGCATATATCTAAAAGAGCGATTTCTGTGAAATGGAATAGTACCGTATAGGGTTTAGGTCTTACATAATTTTTTTTATTTTTTAAGAGAGAGAGAAAAGAGAGAGAGAGAGAGAGAGAGAGAGAGAGAGGGAGAGAGGGAGGGGGAGGGGGAGGGAGGGAGAGGGAGAGGGAGGGAGGGAGAGAGAGAGAATTTTTTAATATTTATTTTTCAGTTTTCGGCAGACACAACATCTTTATTTTATTTTATGTGATGCTGAGGATTGAACCCAGCGCCCCACGCATGCCAGGCGAGCGCATTACCACTTGAGCCACATCCCCAGCCCCGGTCTTACATAATTTTGAAAGGAAGAAAGATTCATTCGTGCAGGAGAGGAGAGGAGACATTTCTGAATACAGGCAAAGCCCAGAGGCACAGGTAGGGGGCAGTGAGAATGAACTTGGAGTAGAGGCGCTACACAAAAAAGCAGGAGAAAAAATTCAATCTATGAGGGTGCATCATTTTTTTTTCATTTTATTTTTCTGGATCTCCTGCATTTGAGGTTTTATTTTGTTTTTCCATTTTAAGCTGAAAAGTAAACATCACACTTTCCTCTTACCACTATCCACATGATCCATTAGTAACTAATATCAGAAGTTTATTTTACATGATTCTAGAAATGTTCAATGTACCAATCCATGTATAAATGCATACTGTGTGTATACATCCATAATTTTTATTCCACAAAATATGCATTATTTTGTATTTTGAACTTTTCCCTCCATTCATTCAACACATACTTACTGATTGTCAGTTATATGATATTTAAGCATACGGAAGAACTATGCTTCCTGTAGCCTAGTCACTGCAATTGTTTCCAGTGTTTTGCATCATCCGCAGTACTTCGATCAATACCCTGCACATGACTTTTAGCATAGCCGAGACTACATATAGGATAAATTCCTTGAAGTAAAGCTGCTGAGTAAGAAAGTAATTATGTAATACTGAATTTAATTCAGGGCACATATATTAAAATATGCAAATTATTTTGCAAATGATGCAAAGGAAAAGGTAATAATACATTGGAATTATGACTAAAGCAGGTTCACAAGGAAATGCATAAAGAAAGAAATCAGTAA